ATTATTATTGAGGTTTTATTTTATTTTATCCTTATTTTTATTATTTTTGCTTTCCTACTCCATTTTTCCCTTTTTTTTTCCCCATTTTCCTCTCCACCTTCACTATGAATTATTATTATTTCTTTTCATCCAACAAACAACACCTTAGGCGTCCCCATCCGTACCATATTTGTGTACCTAGACTCCCTAGGAAGAACCAGAGTTTCTTTCCCTTCCTGAGCATCATTGGAACCACTCAAACGCTCACGTCATAGCTAAAATCCCCCGAGGCTCTTCGCTTCGACTTATTTCCAATCCTCTTCTCATCTTTTTCTATCTTTTTTCCACCATTGTGCTTTCTTCTTACTTCTTCGTTTCGCTCCTACTCTTTTACCATTCGATCATCTCTTCTATCTATACTTGCTTTCCGGTTCTCGGCTTGCAAGAGGACATTCTCCTCTCCGCCCCGGCCTAGTGTTTCCGTCGCTTTCTCCTTCTCTCCAACTCTATCCTTGACGGATTGGTTTTCCTTCGCTCATTCGCCTCTCCGGCTTCAGCGTGACCACGAGGCTATGCTAGCTTTGTAAATCACCCGACGGAAACTGGAACTCTTCTGATTTGGTCGTAACCTGTGTGTACTGTGACCAGAACTTGGTCTCCGCATTTCTTTTTCTTTTTCATTTTTTTTTTTTTTTTTTTTTTTTCCTTTTTCTTTTCCGTCATTATCCTGGTCATCTTACACATTTACGAATCCACACACGCAAAGACAGACATACGTACATACAGATACACATACATACGGGCTGCATACATACATTTTACCGATACATACTCGCTCATACGTACGACCGGGCACACGCCCTGTCACCAAGACCCCTGCTGTGTCTTTCCTTGACAAGTTGACCAAACAACAGCTTTGGGCGTGACTTTGCGACTCACATCATCCTGCATTCGCCTCTTATTCTCAGCCCTTTCCCCCGTCCTTTTCCCGCTCTCTTAAGCAGCCTCGTCTCGTCCTCGCCTACAAATGTCCACCAACCCCCACGAATTTGGCGACCCTAATCGACAGGGACAGTATCCACCGCCTCCCCAGTGGAACTCTAGTCAGCCTGAGGATAATCCAGCTCCAGCTCACTATCCGCCAGCATCTCAATACACTGTGAGTTTTATATATTTCGGCCTGTCCTTCCCTGTCGCTTTCGTTGCACTATTTAGCTACATTCTTGGCCAGACGGCTTGCCGCTAAGAGCTTTGCCGTTTCTCGTTCCTGTTCACATATACTCTATTGAGCAACTGAGCTTAACGAAAGCGCGTTCTCCATATTCAAAACTGACCGCTTCAGTATCCTCCGGCCTCCTATCCTCCTCCAACCGCAGACCACCCGTATCCGCATCAACCACCACCCCCGTCACAGTTCCCGCCTACCTCCCACATGGCCACCATCCACCCTCATGTGCAGGGTGCTCAGGACCCTTACAGACTCCCTCCTCCTCCTGGCGCCTACCGCCCTCCGGATGTCTACGCTCAGCCAGCTCCTCCACCGCAGCCTCAAGTTGTATACCAAGCCGCAGCTCCTAGACAGCGGACCGCTATTGCCTGTCGTTACTGCCGCAGACGCAAGGTGCGTTCAATGCCAGAGGAGTATTTGCTGGCACATTAGGATATCACTTAACAGAGCCTTGCTGACAGTCGTTTTCTGGTTCCGACAGATTCGATGCTCGGGATTTGAAAGTTCTCAGGATGGACGCTGCAGCAACTGTATCCGTTTCAACCAAGAGTGCATGTTCACTCCGGTTTCGTCCCAGGCACAGGCTTTCGTACCAGCACACGCTGCCTATCCTCATCTCAGAAACCCTCAAAACGGCCGCGCTGGTCCTCCAGTGATGCTCTATGGAGCCCACGGCCAGCCTTTGCCGCCTCAGCAGCAACCTCAGCCTCCTGCTGATACTACCCTTCCGCCGCCTCAAGGAATGTACCAACATCCGTACGGAACCGCACCGCCACCCCTTACATCCGCAGTGCCCGCAGATCACGTAAGTTGCAAGTAGTGCCCATGTTCATTGGAAGCTTGAAAACTCGGGATGCCAATAATATCTTACAGAGACCTACCGGCCGCCGCGGCTCTGGCTCCGGTTTCGAGTATCCTGACCCGACCAACCTTGCGCCAGTGACCCCAGCGACATCAGCACCTGCCTATCAGGCGCACGCCGCTCCCAGTCCTTACTACCCCCCTCCGCCGGGGCATGATCGGCGTCCTTCGCCGCAATCTGCCTACCCGTACGATAGCCGTCACTCCTCTTCCCCACACAGCTCACCGTATCCTCCTCTGCACACCGCTCCAACTGCGATGACTCCTCCACCGACCTCAACTCCTGGAGGTTCGGTCAGTTCGTCTCGAGGTGGTCTGAATGTTCGTGATATGTTGAACCCCGGTGACAGCCAGGGTCGTTCCAGCACCGATAGCGATATGCTAAATGCGCTGAATCGTCGGGGCCTCAACCAGTAAGCACTAATCCGGAACGGATATATAAAACCTACTGGCTGTAGGTCTTCAGTTCTTGAGGGGTTGGTTGCCAAGGTCTGAAGGTTCGCATAGACGGGATAAGATTGATACCACTTTGATATTTGTTCACGCGGAGGATTTCGTGCTGGTCACATCGTTTTCACATGATGCGCATAGATTTTTTTCTTTTGTCGCTTGGGGCTGTGTCGAACTTCAGTTGATCGAGAAGAGGTGGTGACTGATGGGCCGACCCCGTTACGTTCCGAAGCTTTTGGAAATGGTCCATGGCACGTTGGTTTTTGGTGATGCTGCCGAGACGACAAATCCCCAAGGAATAACAGATATTGGCGAACATAGCCGGTTGACCTATTTACTGAGGCGAATAAGGCAAGTTGAAGTGGGGGGCGGGCAAGACAAATTTACGCGCGGCGAGAGCGCGAAAGGGTGAGTTAATGAGGAAGAAGGGGCTTCTTATTTCGAAATGAGTGGATGAGGAGTCTTGGCCACAGCAATGCCATGATCAGAATCGCGGCTTGAAACGAGTCCATGGAAACGAGAATCAAGAGTGTTATGAATTCCACGAATTAGACATTGGGATTGAGGGTCATGACTGTCTTCTGCCGGGGCCTTTCCCTTGACAGCTGCTTCTACCGAGGACGTCGGTGATCTCACATTTTTCGACTTCTCTAACTTATCAAACCCCGTCTTTCCACGCCGCTTTATAAACCATAGGGGCGACCCACTAATGGATATTTCCTTCGGCTTTGTTTTCCACTTGTTTTCTGCCTTGATGCATCGTCATGTTAATAATCCCTCTTCTCGCTGCTTTCCATTTTCAGGCGCAGGTTCGGTAACTGTGAGAGATGACCTAGCGATTTATCTCATATTGCTCTGCGCTGGCATGTCTTCTCATGACTCAGTCCCCTTTGACTCTTCGGTCCCTGGAGTGTGTCTTTGGAAGCGTTCTTTGACGCGTGCTCTATTGACATTGAGTGGTTAGCATTGCGCTGCATCCACCTGTTGATTTCGCATTTTAATATTTCCTCCGTTTTCTCCCTAACCAGCGACGAGTGTTGGCGGCTTTTCTGATTATCCAGTGTTCATTACATTTCGGGTGGCTGTCTGTCTTCTGCGTTCCTGCCAAACGTTATGTTCGTTGAGTTCTTTGCGTTTTGTTTCTCGGAGGTACAAAGTGTTTCCTGCAAAAACGGCGGTGGGCTTTTTGAACTATTTGTATTTTCTTTTCGTTTCTGTCTGCTTCGTATCTGGGTGGCTGTCTGATCAGTTTATATTGCGAATCTGTAACATGTTTAGTGTTTGATATCTTTGGGATTTGGCATTGTTCACGGTAGTAACGTGCTTACCAGTCAATCCTTTTGAATGGTCAAATCGGTCTTTGGAGCTGTTCTTGGCATTTGACTGACTGCTTTAGCTTAGAGCCTTTGGGGACTGGGCTTCGTGCCGTAGGGGGTATTCCGTAGTCAAACTTGATATTTCGGAAAGGGGCGATCCACACGCCACAGAACCGATTACGCGTAGCCGACAAATATCGCGAAGCCTGGCATAGGCCTAGAGTATAAACAATAGAACCAGCTCCCGGCCGCATGACAGTCCCCTGCGCCAAAGGCGATGTCTGTGTACCGGAGTTCATCCGATTCTGTTCGCTCGAGTCAGCATGGATATTCAGTCGCCGGACGCCTCATGCAATGTGATGTCAACCCAGTGCCTCTATAGATCTCAAGTAGAGGGATCCCAGCACATATGTAATCACAGGTGCTCCAAAAGTTTCAAAGCCACAAGGCCCCACTTCACTAAGGTAGGGGCCGAGGCAGCCCGAGCCGGCAACGGCCCGTTGCTAAGGCACATCAGATACCTGCCTCGGGTGTTCGTACGTAGTTAGCTGTAGCTGGTAGTATTCGGCTCAGATCTTACATATCACCCAGCAGGCGCAGGACATCCTTATCTTAATTCCAGAGAGTATACTCCTTATAGCCAGCGATGGACTCTCTGTGGCCGTCTACATTAATCCAGAGGAGATTAATGTGTAGTAGCTATAGTATAAGAAGCTGAACTGTCTCTTCCCACATGGTCAACAACATCCACAAAGTATGGATGAAAAGAATGATAGGATTACCCTTTTACAAGGGTGCCTCTGTCTACTAATAAGGGCTGTTACTAGCAAATCTAGAAGGCATAATATTTATCATTTATCTATATAATAACTCATTGTTCTTAAATCTGTAGTTACAATCATAGAAAATATCAAATGCATGTATTTATATTGTGGACTATTGAGGAGCGGACAACATTATGCTTCCTGTTCGGTTCAAGTATAACATTATTTCGCGATATGATTAATAGGAGAATCTCGCGAATACGACCTATTGAGAAAACCCATTGGATGATGGCACAAAAGTTACCTCATATTCATATGTCCATCAGTCATGGTGTCGATTGATGTCTGAGGAATTCTAATATACAGAAAGGATCTTTTGGTGAGTGATCTAAGGCGGGAACGCTATGTACTCAGCTCTTTCCTGCATTGTCCAGCGACGCTCTGGTAATTCATATTGTTGTTTTTGAACACTGGCCCTAAAGCTTCAATATCCTCGTCAGTCATCTTTCGCCGCGCAGCAGCGGTGGTCGAAAATGTCTCCGGTGTTCTGGCACCTCCCATCAGTGCCGTGAGAATGGTAAAGGGAGCCAACGATGGATCCTCAACAACGCTATATATAGTCGTTCCCACAAGACCAACGTCAGTAGCAAGCCGCAGCATGCGACCCAGAACGACCATGCTCTCCGTGAAATAATCCAGCTCGCCCACAAATGGCAGGACGAGAAGAACAACGCCAAGGATGGTCTCAACCAGTCTCTTCTCCTTCTCGTCTTCGTAGTCATCTGCAATCTTCACGACACTTTTCATAGAATCAATGGCTTGCTGAACAAGAAAGACAGCCGTGGAGATGGTTTGGATCACATCGTCCAGAACACCAGTCCATGTTCCCGCGTTGATCTCGAGCTGCGTCAGGGCAATTGTCGTATTGAGTCTCCGAATACCAGGCAGAGCCTTGGTAACAATATCCTTTGGGTTGTCCACGGTGACATTGCTTGATTTGAGCGGGAAACCGTAATAGATTGTGCATTGCTCATCGCCCAGGACGGGACCACGGCACTGAGTGTTGTCGTACTCTCCGAACTCCACCCATTCCTTTTGAATCCCATATGTTACAGCCAGATCAGCGTAAAAGCCATCTGCGTCGACCAGGTAGTAAGTAACTGTAACTCGACCAGTGTAGAAATTGGTGTCAATGGGGCATGCTTCTCGCGGTCCTGGTCCATCAAAAGCACACTCAAAGTATTTATTGCCGCGGCTCACCGTACTGTTTGAATCCAAGAGAAACTGCCGGAGCTGCAAAGGTATAGTGTCCTTGATGTAATCGACATAATCGTTGAATTTCTTGTCGTAGTCTCCGGCAACGACCGAGTTATAATCGACCATCGCATCATCAAGCATGCGACCTAGGACGTTGATGGAATAATAACTGGTGCAGTACGGATCTATAGTATCCATCACATTGGCCAAGTCAGCTAGTGTATCATAGCTTTTGGTAAAGTCGCAAGGCATGGTCTCTCCGCAATCGACGTCGTAGTCGTCCTCGGATGCTCCACAGACAAAATCGTCGGCGGAATACTCCTGACAGATCGGAGAAGGACAATATCCCCTCTGACAAGCGAACATGCACAGATCGCTGTCATCCACTGAGGGTGAGTACCCGGTAATGCTGGTGTTCTTTGGCGGAGGCTCGATTAGAGGTCCAACGCCTGTGCATGTGCAACGATGAATGGGACAGAAGCCAAAATTGCAGCTGTAACTGCATAGGCCAGCAAATGAGTCCTGTCCAGTCCCAGACACGCAGGTATCCGGCACAAATGGAGACCTTGTGGGTATCGTAAGTGGATGCTGCACCGTGTCACACACTCCTGAGGGACAATAGCCATAGTTACAGCTGAAAGAGCAAAGACCCGCGAAGTTGGCGTCTCTTCCCGCTGCTGGGTAGCCCTGAACTCCCTTTGCTGCTGGCTTGTCCGGGTGAGGACCCATCTTGGTGCAAACACAAGCACCAACAGGGCAATAGCCCAGTGCACAGCTGAAGTTGCAGAGACCTAAAAAGTCCCCTTTGCCCCATCCAGCAATACAGACTTGATCTTCCAGAGCGTAGGGAGGCATGCCTCGCGGTGTTAATCCCAGAGGAATCCCCAGCGGCTGGCTATTATTATTGAAGAATCATGAAACTCATGCGCAGAGTGACCGAAGTCCACTTTGTCTTGAACAAAGGCGTACAGAGGCATCCATACCCCCTGGCCGGGGAATTCCATCGTACGGCTAGCTTCGACCGGAGGGACCGAAGGACCTTTAGATGGCGTATTCCTCCATAGGAACCGAGCATATGGTTTATCTCAGAATCCTATTAGCCTGTTTATACATATAGCTCATGTTTTAAGCCATGTAACATGGATTGATATTTCTACGCACACTTCCACTCTCCTTTTTATGCTATTTACAAGGAAGCTGTGTGATAAGAGTGGGGATAGTTTCTGCGTTTGATTTCTTAGGTTTCTGTTCGATCTCAATTATTTATCGGTATCCAGTACGCTCTCATCCATGCATTTACTCTCGATCTTTTTCCTCCTGGCTGTTTCCCTCGCCGGCATCGTCCAAGCAGATAGGTTTGCCAAGTACTTCGAATCTATAGCGCTGTACTATGCCTACAAGTTCGACGCTCAAGCCTTCGGGTCTGCTCGAGTTATGGCACCGAATCATTCGCCGACAGGTGGCCGTCAAGTTGCTATCTTCGGGGAATTCATGCAAGCTGTCTACGTCCCGGAGGGCAAATGGACCTACCCAACGCCCGCTGACCCCTTCGGAGCAAAAATTGCCAGGCCTCGGAAGCAGTACGGATCCAATGCTTGATCCTAGCAATCTAAGGACCATGCTTGACCAGTGGCAGTTCACGGACAAGTACAAAATAGGCCAACTTTTCCCGAAAGAAAAGCTGAAAGAAATCACAAACCATGGTCAGACCCTCCGGATGGCAGTGCAAAGGATTAATACCGTACGGGACTTGGACCTGAAATTGACGGGGGATACGCCCAAAATCCTGCAGGGACAGATGACGAAAATTCCGCTTTTGTTCAAATACATTCAATGGGCACGCGAAGAGGCGATCATGAGGAACAATGGTCTAGATGATGCATTCAAGAGCAGGTTTCCGTCCGACACGCTCGTCAAGAAGATGGAAGAAGTACCGGAGACCGGCCTCAAATTTGAAGCGCCTGATTGGGATGCGACAGCGGCGGAAAACGGAGGGGCCGACCCGGACGCTATAGCAGCGAAAGCTAAGGCATGCGAGAATTGGCACAGAGATTTGGCTCTCAAGACGACACCCCCGATGAGAAAGAGTACATAAAGCATGTAAATCTCATATCACAAATTTCGCACATGTCGAACATACTGGGATCGATCCAGGCATGCAGAGTTTTCGACGATCCACATATTAGTTAAAAGAAAAAGAAGTCAATGACACTAGGTCGCCATCATATCTTATTAGAGAGGAACAAAGGTTGCTTATGGATATTTAAAACAAACCTTCTGGTGCACCAAATTTAGGTACATATAAATCGAGCTTCCACAGGCCTTGGACTGCGATGTTGGCGGCGAAATCAAGACAGCTCGGTTACTCGTTTCTCAGGCTACGAGATGACAAAATTCACCAGTCTTTGCCTGTTGGAAAGCTATGTTTGTCGTTCCATTTTTCCTGACATTTAGGGAAGTTGATAGAACATCGTCACACATGTGAACACGTCATTTGAAATAATCTGCTTGAGGACATGGAGATGGCCAACCAGCTCCTGAACAAATTGGGGTCTAATGTCCGGCTTTGTAACGATGGCGCGAGTGGTGCTTATGTTTCTGGAGATTCGCCTCATGGGATATCGTATCTTTGACCTAGTGAGCATCCACGACGTTAGCCGTGACCCCATGGGACCAGCAGCGAAGGTGAGGCTGTTGCCATTACGCCAAGAAGTCAAGAAATACACACCTTCATGACCTGGGACACAGGTGTAGCGGAGACCGACACTGATGCAGCCGGTGTGGATGCAGGTGCACTCGAAATATGGCCACTGCATACTCCGTAGAAGAAATTAGGATGCCTGGTTGTCCCCACAGCCTCACTGCGATATAGCTCACAGCTCCCTCCAACCACATAGAGCCATGCACGACAACTTTCCAACTTTTCACATTTGAAAGCGCAGTCGGATGCCGTGGGGTAGTCGTATCCGAAAGTGACGGGTGCGCCACTGAAGATGCCGATGGTGTCGTATTGGATGTTATTCAAACAGGATGCGGAAGTCATCTCAATGCTGGCAATGGCAAGAAGCCCAAATGCCACTGACGAAGGTGATACCATTTCTGAGGTGTGCTTCACTAGAGTGCTTGGTTTCTCCAGGTATGGTGTTGACGCCGACGAGGTGTATGGTAGTATGTAGCACTCAGAAATACTACAATGATCGATAATGAGATTGCACCATGGAAGCCTGAAAGCATTAAATTTCTCATCCCCTTTTCTCGTCTCGTCAAATTCAGGCTCAAGAGTGGGATTGCTCTAGACCGGGCTCTCTTCACCTACAGGGATACTGGACTCTGTAGGCCGTCGGGATTCCTAGAATGTGGAAATTCATTTGTGATAGTCTGGTACCTTGCATTGTCTATTTTCGATAAAATACTGTAACTAGTGCGATATGGATCATATTTTCTCATAGGACGCCGAAATTAATGCACTGCTATCAGTCTTTCGACTCAAAATATCATTGCTCTTACATGCGACTTCGGATCCTTGGTTGATAGCGCCGGTAATACCTCCATTTTGATCACTAGCGAAAATATAGGAATCCTGTTATCAGTGAACCTTGTTCTTAACTTCTTCCACGAGTCCAGTGGTAGTATATACAAGCTAGAGGACCTAGTCAATTGTCTTGGGTTACATCTGAGACTGCGAGATATCAACCCGGGCCAATGGGGGACTTATCGGTTGATCACGTAAATTGCGTTGATCTAGGTGAGTGATCGAGGCCCTGAACTATGTTGAAGCCTCGCAATTAAAGTAAGACATTCATTAAATACTCGATCCGTCCAAGAACTAGAGAAGCTTTCCGAGTCTCCTTGGTATTGCTTGGTCGTGTACACCCATGGAAGTTATCTATTATTGCAATACCGGTACCGATATGCTCATTCATTCAAATAACTGCCTAATTTACCAACCGTTATCACCCGCTGCCTTTCTAACCTGTTATTGAAAAGGAAACTGTCAAGCCAGCACATGTAGCTCTTTGATCCCCTCCATCTAACATTTGCTGTTTTATTTCCGCTCTTCAAGAGCCGAGGACAAATGACAACGTCGTTTCCTCAAATCGCACTGAGGCAGCAAGGGCGCGCAACTGCCCTGAGGCGCTCCTTCTTCCGACCCATGACCACCCTATCTTGGCACAGGATGCCTTTTGAACTCAGCAATCGTAGCGATGGCCCGCTACGTGTTCCTGGGATAAATGGAATCCCTTTAGAATATGAGTTACCCGTCGGTCAGCGTTTCGCATATGGGGTGGCCGACTGGCGGCGCGATCCGCGGTTGACAAAGCCTGAAATGTCGATGCTTCATTTCATGGAGTATGTCACAGAACAGCCTGGCTGGGAATCTGCTATCGAATCGGATGGGTTAATAACTGAACAATGGCATCAAAAGGCTTTCTGCACGTTCGATCTCACTTCAAGGGCGTGGGAATGGTGCCTAGCCGAGCTACAAGTTAAAGCCCGGGAGTCCAAACGGACCGGTTACGTTATTATCAAAGACGGCGACTCACCTGTTGCCAAATCGGACAGATTACTGTCGTTGAGTCTCCTGCAAAAGTTACAAAAGGGATTGCAACCACTGCTCGACGATTGGACCCCGTTGTCTGATGAATTGGGCAATTCCAGTCCGCTACGCCATTTAGTGGATCCCTCGTTGCATCCCTTGGTGTATGAGCGGACCCATGTCCTTATTGATGGCGGACGACACTGGCTTGATCCTTCCGGGCCCTCACCTCAAACCAGCGTTCGAAAAATTCCTCGACCGACGATACCCCGTAAGGATTCCTTTGATTTTCTCACACCAAAGACTTACTATGAAAACCCGTATGGCCATAGAGACGATGAGCGAGGAGAAATAAAAGCAACTTTCTTCTCTGACAAGTTTCAGTGGCTTCCTTGCGAAGTGGAATTCCCAGACGGACCTGGTCGCCCGAGGATTACCTCTTACATCAATAACCTTCCCTGGGTTCAGGATGGAGCATACAAAGCCTTTGAAGAGCTCCTTGCTCAGGTTATTCCTCTCTGGAACGAGGTATTGGTCATTGGAAAACAAGGAAGGAAGCCAATGCGAATTCGTACTTATGATATTCCCGAGCGTCATAGAGAGGAAAGACTTCAGAAGCGGACTGATTTGCACCCGTTGTACCGTTCTCCAAGGTCAGCCTTCACCGACGAACAGTGGAGTGAGCTTTGTGCTAAAGTCAAGTCGTACCTTGCCCTCCCCGAATATGACAATCTGAAGGGCCTCCGTGTGCACAATTCGCCAGACAAATTCCCAGCCGATATTTTCGGCAGCATGACGACTAAACAGTGGAACTCGCCCAAAACGTTGACCAAAGTTATGGAGGAGAAGTTTCGCCGTAGGAATATCTATGAACTTCCCGAGCCAGGCATTAGTTTCACATACGACGAATGGAAGCGAGGAAAAAACACCAGTCAGCCGGTGATGCCTCGTGTGAACGTCTCTGAACCTAACGAGCCTTTTGACCCAATTCTCGACCATGAGTACTACAGCATCAACCTGCCAGGTATTGGGGATGGTCTTCAGGTAATTTTCAAAGTGTCTAGCGTTGATCTGACGCCTGAGAGACCTTCCTACGAGGGAGACTCGGACTTCCAAGTGGCCGGTATGTTGAATGAGCGAATTGTGGCGACTGCTGTGTGTTTCTATGATGTTGAGAACATCGGAGGGGCCCGAATCTCCTTTCAACAAGAGGCCCGCATGAACGAATACGAGTTCAACTTGTTTTACCCGGAGATGATCGAACTGGCTTGGGATATTCCACATTGGGATTACTCTGCGAATCCACCTCCACCTCCTCCGCAAGCCCTTCAGGATCTCGGTTCCATTGCCACTACCAACAATGGCCGGTTACTCGCCTGGCCCAACACCTTGCGTTACAAGGCTGAACCATTCTCCCTGCTTGATTCTTCGAGACCAGGCCACCTTCGCTATATTACGATTCACCTAGTTGATCCTCACTACCGGATCTGCTCCACCAGAAACGTTCCTCCTCAGCAGCATGACTGGTGGCTCAAGGCAAGGGAGATGTCCAATAATCTCCATGGAGCACCACTGCCGGACGTCATGGATACGCTAGGTCTGCAGATGGAAGTCTTGCCCATGACTGTACAGGAGTCTCTTGAGGTCCAGAAGGAAACAGATTTAGAGAGAGAAACAGCCATGGGCAAGTTACGTAGTCGCGTTGCCACGGGGGACTACATGTTCGAAGATTTTCTAGTAATCGCAACTGACGGTTTTCCTCCAAAAAAATAGATACAACAGGCTTCACATGCTGTGTCGATTCCTCTTTCCTCATAAAATCTTGGCATGGCTCCAAAGAAGTGGCACTACATCGTAATTTAGTGATGCTGGTGAATTGTTACCCAGAGCTACCTTGCCTGTCTATAGCACGGGCCTATGAAAACCTCTATTAAATCATTGCCACCCCTAGTGTTTGAGCAACTTTGTGTGTATGTGTACAGCCAGGTCGACTCTTATTTAAGCACTGCAGCGCGGTGGCATATGTCTATGTTGCAGAGTTCCACAGCTTTGAGAGGACCATGGACATGTACTATACAGTGATTCTCGAAATCGGGTTGAGTCTTGACCAACAAACATATGGTGATTATCCACATCCATTCATAAATGCTTCTCAATGTGTATGGATCTCAAGTAGAGGGATTCTAGCACATACGACCATAGGGTGTGGAAAACAGGGCTTCCCGTCCGCTCAGCCGTACTTAAGCCACACGCCGGCCGGTTAGTAGTTGGGTGGGTGACCACCAGCGAATCCCGGCTGTTGTATGTTTTTGATGCATTTTGTTGCTTCGTTGTTATGCCATTGCTGCCTGGTCTTCATGTACAACACGTTTTCCCTCTCTACTGCAACCTACGATTTCGTTACCATTCAACCCTCATAACCGCAAAATGGCCCAACCAGCCCGATCTGCAGACTCTGGAGATGGAAAGCCTGACCTTATTAAGTTCTTTCATGACCCCTCTTGGACGATACCTTGGTCACACCCTGAGTTCACTGGTAGTGACATGGAGCGTCACAAGCGCTGGCGTCAGCAGCCCTGGTTCAAAGATAAGCAACGCTCTTCTATACAACTACTTCGTCGTGCTTCCGCCAAATGGTGGCCTTGGGGCTACTTCATCTACCGCACGGTCTACACCCCCGAGTCCGATCAGGTCTGGTCTGCCTGTGTGGAGAAACTTGACCGCTATGTCCACTGGGAAATTGATCGCCTCGATGGTGACCGTTATACAAAGGCCGAGGACCACGGCTTTCCTGAGAAGCTTGTCCATGAGGGATACAGAAATGTGATCGTTGAGAATAAAGAACGCTGGGATGGTGCATCAATTGAGCAGATTCGTGAGGATTTCAAGAGCCTTGTTGCGTCTCAGGGTGCAGAGATAGGGGACGTTGTGCCTCGGTATGCAGTGTGTATGGTTATTGATCGCCATTGCTTGGATTCAATCATGCGTGCTTTTGAGGATCCAGAGGAGAGCATGCACGGGGTGGTCCAGGGAAGGGATTTGTTCTTATGATTGATCCTGAGTTGGCTCCTGGGCATAGAAAGGAAGGGTATTTTGGGTTTATGCGTGTCGAGATCAACGAGCTTTTCTGGCTGACGGTAGAGTTGAACTCGTCGTTTTCGATGAGTGATAGGTGTCTAAGGGTGCAACCGGGAAAGATACCAGTTTACGATGGCGGTCTTGGTTATGCGGTTGATGATCCATCATGGACTGGACCTAGGCCAAGAACGCCCATCACTCACCGGTCAGTATGTAAAGGGGACTGTCGTGAGCATTCAGAGATGTAGCCATGAACGGTAGCTACCATGAAGCTTACTTTCTATATCAAGGGATTTCGTGTTATAATGCATTATATGATGCAGCACTGCACTGACGTATTCTAACAGACGAATGAGAAACGAATGTCAGATAATTAAGTAGCAAAGCATAATATAGGTAGATGATTGTTCTGTACTCCCTGGATAACATGACAAGATGAAGCTTAATGACACATTGACAGCCAAACGTAAGAAAGTGGGTGTGATTACAGAATGCTATGGATGATCTTACAAGATGGAGAAAAGACCAAAGAGTGGCAGAAACCAAGGAAAAGCCGCTCAAGATACAGAGATGGACCCAAGGGATGTGTAATGCGATGGATCAAACCACTATGCGCCGTAGGAACGGAAATGACGGCGTGATATGCTAAATTAACCATTCGGGAAAGCGTCAAGGATTCGTGCCATCTTCTTGGCACGATCAGGATCCTCAACGAGTAGGCCTCGCTGTTTCAACACCATCTCCAGAGTGTCGACCACCTTGTGGAAGGATGATGCTGCGCCTCTTTCTTGCCTAAAGCGCACAAGACTGAGATTCGCCTGGCGGCCATGCTCTAGGACAGTGTAGAACTCGGCGGAGAAGTCAACAGCTCGAAGACGGAGACCTTGAAGGGGTTAGAACAATCAAAAGTATCATCCAGATTCTCACTTACAGTTCACTTCGCCCACTCTGGCGCGAATGACACCATTGGCTTTGTCCAAGTGCGCCTCCTCCATACCAAACTGTTTCCATTCCCGCAGTAGCTTCAAAACGTCCTTTCTACCTTTTAGTTTCGATGTGTTGAGAGCTACTACTCTTGATGCTGGCTTGATCTGGAAGACCCGCGCGAACCAGTTCTGGCTCTTTCCGTTTGATTTTGGCCCAGCGGTTACAGGCTTCTGGTTCTTCTCGGTGTCGAAAGAGCGTTCGGTTTCCGCTGGTCGCTTGAGCAGGGGGTTAGTGTCTGCAAAGTCGAGTTCTGAACATAATGGTTAGCTGGAGGAATCGTTGAGGTCCAAAGATAGAGAAGCCTACCTGTTGCACCATTATCGAAGTTGTCGCTGTGTCTCTTCTTCATAAATTTCTTGAAAAAGCCACCCTTCTTGTTGTCGGAAGTGCCTTTCGTGTCCTTGGGCTTTTCAGTCTGTTCACCCGGCCCAGGGTCAATTGAAGGATCAATCTCATGCACAATTACTGTGGCAGAACTCGGCTGTATGGGTTTGACAAGAGGCGTCTTCATTTTAGTCTCGGTAGACCCCTGAGATCTGTTTCGAAACCAAGACCATTTCTTATTCTCGGACGGTTTTGTATCGGACATCCCGGATGACTTGGGCACTTCTTGAATTGGGTCCAATTCTGAGAGGAAACGAGTTTGACGAGAGTCGGCAGACGCATAGCGCTGCGAAGAGCGAGCCGGTCTTTCATCCTTGGATTTACTTTCCTCGCTGGGTTGAGGATGCTCGTTTGAGACTTGTCTCTTCTTCCGGATATTCAATGGCTTAATATCCTCCAAGCACTGTTGAGAACTATGAGGAACCATTCGGATTGTGGCTTTCCCATCACCGCTTTGACGTTTCGTCCGAATAGAACTGGCGGAATCGGAATTGTGCCTTGTTACGTGTTGGCCGTTACTCATCTCATTCTCGCTCGCCAAGGAGTTGCTGAGTTCTTCCGAAATGATGGGAAGGTTACCAATCTCGAGTGAAGATCTCTGCCGGGTGTCGCATGTAGAGTTACCGTTGTCCTTAATCTTGTCTCGCTTCCCGCGCTCCCTTATTCTGTCCTGCGCAATGAGACGATCAAGGTGATTGATAACAGCGGATAGATAGCCTGGAACATTCCCAGTGCCGTCCTGGGTTGAGTGCTGTATTAGCTTGCGACGAGTCTCGGTCAGCTCCGTCGCAGTATAGGAGTTGGGCGATTCTCCTAATATGTTGGACGGCTGGTTCGATTTGATGTTGCTTCCTGTAATTTGATTTTGCGAGTCTCCAGCGCTGACCATGGAAAGAGAAGTCGCTGGTGTCTCTGATCCAATGCTGGCCGTACATCCTGTCGATAAGGATCCGCCATTGAAAGCTTCTTCACATATCTGGCTGAGTTCATGAGAGACCTTGCGCGCTTCGTCTCTCCAGATAATGTCAGCGTCGCAAACTCTCTTGACTTGAGGGCAGTTTTTAATAGTAATCCCAGCTCCTCTAACTACTATAGGTGGTACCGGTAGCAAAGGGCTGCCACAGCGGTCTGAGAAGGGGACGCCGTCCACGTCAGACTTTATGCTGCATTCACTTTCTTGTCTGCTAATGCCCGAGGCATTTGTTCGCGTCTTCTTCGGTCTTGCAGACATTGATCCTTGTGAGCGATTCCGGTGGTGAAGAAATAGAACGTTCCTCTTATAGCTGGCAGAGCGGGGTGTAGGTGTTGTATTTGTAACCCGGCGAGTAGATGAGTGGGAAGCCCTTGACTGAAAAGACCTGGTGAAGCTGGCCTTGGACTTCTTGTTGGGCACTATGGAGAAAGGGGAGCTTGGCAGACACTCTATATCCTCAACGGCTCCTTCTTTCATGTCATCTTCTAAATCCGGAACAGAATCCGACACATCTTTGGTATTTGCTTCAGGACCCTTCCGATGAACGGTAACCTGAGCGTACTGTACTTCGGGAGTGGCGACAATATGGCGTGGAGACCTGAATGGGTCATAACTCTTCTCGGTTGCTGAGGATTTGAGGGCTCTGGGGGTACTTTGAGGTTGTTTGCCGTTGCCTGTTGTTGAATTTTGACCTTGTCTCCGAGAACCACCTTGCACCCGGGCATGCTTGCGCCTATTTGCAACGGAAGCTGGTAATCGAGAGATGTGATGGTAATCACTGGCTGAATACTCGAGAGGCTGGCCCTGGTAATTCTCTAGCTGCTCGTTTCTGAACTTGATCAGAGCATTGTAAAACATTCGTTCCTGGGTGGGCCTGGGGCAAGGTGTCTGGTCAACTCGTCGTGTCGTAGCTCGTCGGGTACGAATGGGACACTCACTGAGGATTTAGAACTCGCTCTATCAGGGCCTCTGTTTTGACGCCATGCCACAATGTCTGCAGATTTCTCAAAATATCAATATCAATATCTTGTCTGCTGAGTACTGGTGGCCCGCAATCTTCTGCCGTCAACGGTGGTGCAGGGCCGAGGTAGTGATGTGACATTGCCTGATGGAACTGTTCGTACTTCTTTAGAAGTGGATGCATCCATATTCCATGCATCGTTATGCGGTCCTCTGGTCTCTTTTGCAGGATGCGCTGAATAAGGTCGGCCGCTTCGACACTCAACTCGGCGGGAATGGTGTATTCGCCTCGCTTCACTTGTCGCAAAGTACTTGGAAGATCCCCCCCGTCGAATGGCAAGTAGCCCGTTAGCAGTGCATACAAAATGATGCCACAACTCCAGATGTCTGCTTTGTCTCCCCGGTACTTTCGACCATAGATGATCTCCGGCGCAGCGTAATGCGGGCTTCCGCAGGAGGTATTCAACCAATGTCCAGCTGGTTGAAGCGCAGCCATACCGAAGTCAGCAAGTTTGACATTGCGCCAGGAGTCCAGCAGTATATTCTCCGGCTTCAGGTCCCGATGACAGATGTTGAATCTGTGGCAGTATCCAAGTCCTGCAATTATCTGTCGAAACAAGCGAACTGCCTCTTCCTCCGGTAACGGTCCGTGGTTTTGTACGTAATGGAACAGCTCGCCGCCTTGGACGTACTCTAGAACCAAGTATCTGGAGACGAAAGGTCAGTTACTGATAGTAGACACTTGGGCTTGGACTTACAGTTCTCCCCGGTTCTCCCACACGTCGTACAGGCTGATCACGTTTGGATGCTCGATGAGTTTCATGATGACCACCTCCCGCTCAATGCCAGACGGCATTTGTCTGGTGCCCGTACCACTAAAGAGACTTGCATTGCGGTCCATTGCTGCAATGCTTTCGCTCTGGGCAATTGCGGCAGACCTCTTCGATACAATCTTGATGGCTGCGGTCTGGCCGGTGACTGCATGTTTGGCCAATCTTACACGGCCCGTGGCCCCTTCCCCCAGTGTCTTTCCCAATTGCCATGGCCCAACGTGTGTTTTCCTTTTCCCCTTCCCAGAAACATTAGAAGTCGTAGAGATTGCTGAGTTTCTTTTCGAGCCGGCTTGAGAGTTCGGATTTGGAGAGGCGCGGTTTATCTCCACATTGTCTCTGGTTGCCAACGGGCTTGTGACGATAGACATTCGGTCTGGTGTTTTCAGCAGATCTTCTACTTCAATATGTGATCCTTTTTCAATCTTTGGAGTAGCACAGTTGTTCAGTCTATGCGTGGCATCCGTCAGAGGAGGACGGAATGACTGAGGACTGGCGGTAATCCCATCCATCGCCAGGCAAGCCCGGGCTAATGAAGCGAGACAGGCTTGTTGCAATGCCACATGTGGAGATTCTCTCTGCTATTTTGCGATTATGTAGTCTGCTTGGGGCTGATTTCGGTGACTAGTGAGCGAATGTGGCTTGCGATATCTCTAGTCACGAGTATGACGGACTAACATTCAATCGGACGTGTTGACCGGGTATTGTTGCTCGTTGGGACAGCTACGTTCTGAGAGATGTAAAGACGCGGCTGTAGCGATAGACACTAGATATGGAGCGCTCTGGAGTGGACGACTGCGAACAGTAATGCTGGAGTAACAGTGCCTTCTTCTTTCCCGTATTGGCTGCCTTGAATATCCCGCGTCTCGAGGCTCAAAAGAGATGATGAGTCGCAAGTGAAGAAATGGAACGAGGGTCGCAGCAAGACTTGAGCTGCTCAAAGTGACGAATGAGTACGATAGAGAAGCTGTGTACAGCAACAACAGAAGAAATCCAAGCTTTCAGTCACTTTCTTTCAGAACATACCCAAAACACAGTCCATGGCCACCCCACAACAAGCAGAGGCCGCACGTTAGTAGAAAATTGACATACCATATCACGGTTGAATTCCTCTGGCCGATCATTTACTGTTTGTTGATTTGAATTCCTTGAGTCTCCCTGGCCACTAATCTACATTGGCCGAAGATTAGGAATGCTCGAGCTCTCTATTACACCATCACGATATGGTAAGACGTTCATGAACTGGCAATTGAATTCAAGCATATAAGGAGCCGCTACACACAATGATTTGCAATGTTCAAACGGTCGAGTTTATCCTGCAAGTCTTCTATCATCCCTTGACGCTTTCACAATGGTATCGATGACTGACAAGGAAGGAATTGATAGAATAGGGCCCTTAAGACTTCCACCTACTTATCCTTGCTTGGTATTTCTTCTAAATATTCAGCAAGCATACTATTATTGCAAGCGCCGTAATTACTAGCTCGATTATACAGAGCGCCCAAAATGGCTGACTATAAGACACTGACAACCAGCGCATTCTCCCATGGCCTCTCAACGATCCGGGCACGCAGGTCCAGAATCCCAATCCTGCTTTCTCCAGCAGAACAAATGCCACATTCCCGTCTTCCCCTTTTTAAATCTACAACGACTGTTGTCCCAGCATACTGAGACTGGGTCGAGGGAGGGTATCATCCTGTGCCTTGTTGCAACAAGGGAGGGGGGCATTCCAAAGCTAGCGGTCAAGGGACAGAAGTGCTCGCATTCAACATTCCAATATCAATAATAAATAGCCAGCTCTTCGTCTATGAATTGAGATCAACACTCTGGAATTCGGCTAAAAATGGAAGCAAGATACGCTGTGAACACAGCTCGAAGGACACTCTAATTGATTATGGGCTGGATGTATCCTCCAAACTACATCAACATTCCGTTCTGTGCCAAACGGTTGCCCAGATGCTCCTCGGCTACAGAGTATAAGCTCATGAACTATGAACAGACGCCAGAAGAACTTGCTAGAACTTTCTTGTTGCCCTATGTCGAGCCTCAACAGCCTACCAATGCTCTTCGCCGATATCTACAGCATCAACGTCAACTCCATCAACAAACCATCGGCCGTCACCGTTCCCATCTGGTCCAAGTACCAAGTCATTTCCGCTCATCATCCTCTTGCGCATCTTGCCAGTTTCCCGATCAAACGTCCAATCCTCGAGGCCGTAGCAGCGCTTCCAGCGCATCCCATCTTCTGCGTCTTGATACTCGTACCAGAATTGCACGGCAATACGATCATCCGTGAAAGCAAAGAGCTCCTTGCGGAGTCTGTAGTTGTGTTCACGCTTCCATTTGCGGGTCAGGAACGCGATAATAGCTTCTGTGCCGGACAAGAATGAGTCGCGGTTGCGCCAGATGCATGTAGGGGTGTAGGCTTGAGCGACTCGGACCGGGTCCCTGTACACTCGCGTCAGTGATTAGTTACAGGGACGGTAGTAGTCTCGATAGGGCATGTAGCGCTTAGGCTCGAAGCGAACAGATCAACGACAAGAATTGAATCAAGGGAGGAACGAAGCTCATGTTAATTCCTCTGAGTCCGGGATTTGAATCCACGAGGGAATGGTGTGCTCACGCAAGGGATAGGACAAATAAGATGCTTTGCGCTGCTATCATGGCTATCTACCAATCAACAGTAGATAAAGGACTCTGTTTGAGAGTACCAAAGGCTCAGAGCGAGGTGTATGAATGACAACGTCATTCCATGATATACGTGACGGCTGGGATGTGTTTATGTGTATTCTTACTTCGAGTTCCAGCCAGCTTGAGCTGCCTTGACCTTCTTCCTGGCAGTCACTTCGGTAAACGGAGGTTTTAGGTCTGCCATTTTGGCTGATGTGGTGACCTGTCTATTTCAAAATTCAGTTATGTAGTTGTCCGATAGTTTCTTGACGTTCAACTTGGAGTCATCATGCACGACGCTATCACGTGCTGGAGCTAGTATACGCCCTTTGGCAGACAGTTTGAAGCTAGGAAAAATTTACATGTGTGATTAAAATTATTAGCAGACTGTCAATAAGGACATTCTGCATGAATAGGCCGACGGTATCGGATACCTGGTATCTGCTGAGCACTGCCCTCTTTCTCCTACGTTTATATAAATCTCCGTATTTACCACACAACGTTGAGCTACAGGTAAAACCGATCTTGCTGGAAGCTAGCCCTCGGTCTCGGCTTTTGAGTGCATCTCCAGATCCCTCCGCAGGTTGCCGATAGATGGTGATACGTGGCATATAATCTTGACTCTTGATCGCGTTGATACAGGTCATCTCATAAATTGCGCAGGATATGTCACCGTCTACGGAGTAGTTCGATATATATACATACACCTGGAAGATAGCCAATTTAATTATCTTGACTGAGTTTTGAATCTCAACATTAAAACCCCATAGAAAACTGGAGATCTATGGGTTGCAGTTATTTAATTTATTGATCGAGTCGAGAATTGAAGGTAAAAGAAAACAGTTTGCAGCACTTTTGTATGATAGTTCCCTGCCTTAACGCCACCATGGCGATCATCAGTACAACACTGCAGAATGAGCTTGTCACGTGCAATAATATGACGTTGGGCGGCCGAAGAAATTGAGGGGCATCGGCAAGTGGGCGGTGAAGCCCAGAGATAGTGACCTACGCAGCCTCATTTTTGCGTGTTTGCGAGGGACCAATTGCATAGCCTGTCGCTGGATGAGATAGATCATGATGATTGGTGCGAGATCAACATATCGAAGGCACCATTTTCGCCCCGAATGATGAAGGCAGGGGACAAGAATAAATACCTATTACCGAACCGACCCCTCATTAATGTGCAGATAGCATAATCCGATCGAGTCCAGATCGTCAGTCTTAGTCTGCAAGGTACTTCTACTTTATAGAAAATTCAGGAATTCGTAAAGACGACTAATCAATTCATATGTAAGAAGAACCTAGTCTGATCTGATAATCTGATATCTAGAATTTAATTGCCGATTTGCCATCGAATAGAATTTTCCATATGACTTCACTGACCCAGAACTGCAAACCGATTTGTCAACTTGTCTGGTCTAGATAGCAGCCATAAATGGTGCATCCGCTGATGAAGGGATCTGTGGTGGGGGTCCACTCCCAGTCTCGGGCGGTCTTCTTGATAATACGCACCAAGCCAGCAACTTAGCAGTTATTCCGTTCCTCCCCCAATCGACGGGATTCGGTATCCTTCTGCTTCGGATCACCTTATGGATGTCTCCAGTGGCCCGTTGGCACATCATTTGCTGGCTTTGTCAGGGGCTGCTCCAACCGTCCATGGACCAGATTGTGTATATATTGACCGCCATGGATCCCTCACCCGCCTCGTCTTCTTTTCTCTTCTAGTTCCATAAAACACCCCACTACTCTAGCCTACCGCTTCTTTTTCATCTCTACTTCACACAGCTCTCTCTTCAGAACACTACTTCCTTCACACACATTCTCAAATCCAACCCATCAACATGTCTGGACTCAAGACCGGTGACAGCTTCCCCGCTGACGTTGTCTTCTCGTAAGTAATATCTGCTCATCTGCCCTTTCTCTGGAGTTCCCTCAACCGCCAAAATATGTACAAACCGTCAGGTCTAACATTGAATTCCATTCAGTTACATTCCCTGGTCTGAGGACAAGGGTGAAATCACTGCTTGCGGTATCCCCATCAACTACCACGCTTCGAAGGAGTGGGCCGACAAGAAGGTCATCCTCTTCGCTCTTCCCGGTGCCTTCACTCCCGTCTGCTCTGCTCGTCACGTTCCCGAGTACATCGAGAAGCTCCCCGAGATCCGTGCCAAGGGTGTTGACGTTGTTGCTGTCCTCGCCTACAACGATGCCTATGTCATGAGCGCCTGGGGCAAGGCCAACCAGGTCACTGGTGACGACATCGTATGTTCACCATTGCAAAAAGAAATGTGCAATTTTGCTACATTGAATTCCTTGCTAATTCTGGTATTCTAGCTCTTCCTTTCCGACCCTGAGGCTCGCTTCTCCAAGAGCATCGGCTGGGCCGATGAGGAGGGCCGCACCAAGCGTTACGCCATCGTCATTGACCACGGCAAGGTCACCTACGCCGCTCTGGAGCCCTCTAAGAACCACCTGGAGGTGAGTAGTCTTCCATCCTTTCCATTGCTGCTAGAGTCTGGAGCACGATCTGACATGATGTTGTAGTTCTCGAGCGCCGAGGCCGTCCTCAAGCACCTGTAAAAACATGAACTAGACATGATAGATGCCGGCATGGGATTAAGACAAAGGCGTTGAAGTTTTTCGATGGTGGGCTAAGAGTAGCCTGCTGTGGGCAAGATTCGTGATAGATCTTTAGACGTGCCGCTTAGACTTCTAGAAATACAACGCTGTAATGAAGCTACGAAAGAAAATTTTTCCCACCCTCGCTTTACCAAACCGTATGATGTCAAGTACGAACTATGTTTTAAGGTACAAGCGAACTACAGCTGTAGTGCAATTAAACATCAGTATCCCGGCACCCCGAAGATCTACGTGAATCAAAGCGTCGCAGGGCTTCATTTTCCACAGGCTGCTATTGGTGCTTGGGGGTGTGACAAGTGTGCCAATGCGTGATTCTCGGCCGGGAGGGATGACGCGCTAAAGCTCCGAAAATTAAGCTCCAACACCACTTTTTTGTACACCAAGCTGCAGCGGAGCTACCAACAAAAATATACACCTCTCAAGCGTCTACGTTACCCGATCTGTTTCTCACCTCCGCTCATCGGCCATCATGGCCTCGAATCAGCCCTCAAAGCGCAAGTCCGCCTTTCCGGGACCACAGCCCGGCGCAGCAGCGTCCCGCAAACGCGCCAAAACATTCGATGCTCGGTCCCTCGCCGTTCAGTCGGCCGACGCCGCGCTCTCTGCGTCCGGAGAGCTGAATGTCGCCGCGTATGTCGAAGCTCGGGAGTTCGAGATCCGTGCTCTCGAGTCGGGGATGCAACGGTCGAAGAGTGCACTGACGAGCCGTGCGTTTCAGAAAGTGCCCCGCGCGTTGAGAAGGCGGACGGCCAGCCACAATGTTAAGAGGGTTCCGCGGAGGCTGAGGGCGAGGGCGAAGAGAGAGGTATGTTGAGAGCACCTATCTATCCGCCTCGTAGGGCGATTTTCGAGATCCAACTTCAATTCAGAAAAAGCTTTGCTCACTGCCCGGCCGTGTAGATGATCGAGGATAATACCCCCACCGTGACCGCTCGACGACGAAGACCGACCGAAATCCTGCGCATTCGCCTTGAAACCGCTAGAAGGCTCCAGAACCTCAATTCAAAGACCAAAGCCAAGCGTGCGGCAGCGAAAGCGAAGCGGGATAAAGAGACGCAAAAGACTCTGGAAGAGTCAGGTAGCCACGCCTATAACATCGCCCCGCGAGTGCCGAAGATCAAGAAAAACAAGCTCTCACGGCCGCCGCCGCCCGAATCAAAGTACAAGAAACGGCAGCGCTGCAAGACATGGCTTCCGACGCATATGTTCCATGCGAAGCGCGCCCACATGGCCACTTCGAAAGATCCGTTGTGGCGGTTCGCGGTGCCCCTGTCGCCCACCGAGAAGAGCTACAGGCCTTCTCACAGGGCTAAGGGTGCCAGGGGTGCGGTGGCTTGGGATATGAGCTACATGTCTACGATTCAGCTAGAGGGCACCGAGGAGGCCATGGAGGCGGTGCTGAGGGGAATTGGGATTGATGGACAGGATGCTTGGGGTCCCAAGGGTAGGAAGTGGAGGGCTGGGACAAGAAGCTTACATGCTTGGGCATTTGAGCGTGAAGGCACACATAGACCGATCGCACCGATAACGCTGATCCGATGTGCCCATGGAAAAGCGGAAGATGTGGAAATGGTTGATGCAGGTCGGTCGAAGAAAAAGAGCCAGAAGGACAGAAAGAAGCTGTTCATCAGAGTCCACCCATCCGCTTTTCTGCAATTGTGGAATGAGCTTCTTGAGATATCGAAGAGGCAAAATCCGCCAGTGATGGTGGAAGATTTGCGCTTCGAGATTGGAAGCGTCGAGATTACCGGTCCGGGTTCTACAGAAGCTCTACTCTCAGCGCTCAGGCCCTTGATGCCGGATGGTGCTGAACCGTCAGCAGGCAGTCCAGAAGCCACCTGGACTTCGTTGCTTGGGGTATCGAACCCCTCATCATTGCCACAAAATGCTCTTCTCGGCTTTTCCGTCTCGGACCCTCGTCTTCACTTTCCACCGAGGACCATCAAACCACCGGATTCGGATCCCGAAATGCAGAATCTGGCCATCTTACTATCGACGTGGTCACCCGACACCACCCAAACGTCACCTGGCCTGTTCGACCGCCGTGCACGACTAGCCGCCACTCGTCAACTTCCTAGCCAGAAAGCTATTAATCGTCGACGGACCTTAGCCGGACCAGGAGTCTACCCTCCTGCTGAGGCTTCTGACCCCAAGATTCCGGTGATGATCCTCGCTTCAAGATCAACCAGTCAAACAAAGAACAACAATGCGCCTGGCACATGGACCGTTCTATTGCCATGGAAATGCGTCCTTCCGCTCTGGTATTCGCTCATGTATTACCCACTCTCTAGCGGCGGAAACGCCAGATTTGGTGGTCTCAAAGAACAACAACAACTCGCGTTCGAAGCTGGAGAACCCTGGTTCCCCGGCGACTTTCCTGGAACACGTGCTGGCTGGGAATGGAACGTCCGCGAACGGGAGAGGGCCAAGCAGGAGTGGGAAAGACGACCAAAGGGCCGGAGAACCGAATTTGATAGCCTAGATCTGGGGAATGGGCAGAAAGGCGAGATCGGTCATGGCTGGGCGTGCGACTGGGAAAGACTGGTTCATGGTCCGCCGAAGAATTCAACGCCTGATTCTAATGAAGCGAAGAAGAAAGAAGAGGGTCAAGACTCTGAGCAACAAGATATGCCAATGAGTGATGCCGAGCAGCAAGCCATCGATGGGCACGCTCCCCCGTTCAACGTACACCAGCTGCCCCTTGCCAAGGCAGAGGCTGCACTCAACAACCCGTCAGATACTACTGATCAAGCTGCTCTTGCAACTGTCAAAATATCCCTCTTGCACCGCGGTACGCCCACCCCCGCGGCTCGCGTATACCGCCTCCCTACCACCAATCCAGAGCTACGAACAAAATGGCTCCGCCTTGCATCCGACGAGCGAAAGAACCGCAAAACCACTCATTCTCAGAACCATCTGCAGCAGTCTGCCGAGCCTCCAGCTGGCCAAGGAGATGCCCGCCAGAAGCTCGCGGCTTCGCTTATCACCCCAACAGCAGATACAGACTCCCAGCAGGAACACCTCCCCGTCCCCACGGAAGAAGACCTGGTCGGCTTCGTCACAACGGGGAACTATAACCTGTCCGAAGGAAAAGGAACGGGGATTGGCTCGATCATGGTATCGAAAGTTGCTGCGTCTGGCAAGGGCAAGGCGCGCGAGAGGAGAATGTGCATTGTCCGCAGTGCCGGCGAGCGAGTGGGCAGACTTGGTTTCTGGGAGCTTATTTAGCACTGAAGTATATCTGCATGTGTGTGTAGTTGCTATGGATGAGTTGTGGTTATGTTTTGATGATACCCAAGCTAGAATAGACCTTTGACGCGTCTACTTTTCAATCAATAGCTGCCGTTTCTTCGCATGATGGTGCAGTCTACAGAGCACATTTAGACCTGTAGATGGACGAAGCCCTAGAACAAAGCTGAACTCGTTTCAATCAGCCCAACAAAAGATAGATAGCTATACATATGCATCGCGCGAGAAGGACCGGGTAGATCTATTTGTTAAAACAACGGAGGAAATAGCATCAGCATGGCGGCACATATCGCTCTGACTCGGAACCTCTCAACCGACAACACGGTCCACAAACGCCTCCTCAAGCCTGGCAACCTCCTTCTTGAAACCCTCAACCTCCTTCCAACAATCCAACGGCCGTCTATCGTGCAACCGTAAACAAGTCACAACCTCGTTCCGCGCCTGCTCAACACGCTCGTCCACCTCGACGAGCTTCCGCCGTCCCTCAAGCTTAGCCCGCAGCTGCTCAATCTCCGCATTTACCGACTCCCGGCTGAGATCGCGGCTGATGGGCTGGTCGGCGGCGGCAGCAGTAGGTGCCGGGGTAGACTCGTACTCGCGGCCCGCGAAGGGGATGCGCGGCGCGTCAAGGTTCAGGGAGCCGGCAGGGTAGGTGACGTTCGGTGTTGATGAGGGAGCGGCCGGGGCGCTGTCTTTGACTTCTGCCAGGCGCTTTTCGATCTCGGCGAGGGTCTGCTGCTCGCGTTCGCGGAGGCGCTCGAGTTCCTGGGCTACGCGGGCTTGGATCTGCAGTTCCAGGCTCTTGGCGCGGGAGGAGTCGGTCTGTTTTGGTCAATTTGTTAGAGTTGTGGTGTGGTCTTCTTCAAGTACGGAATTGGAGTCTGGGTTGCCAGGGTGTTGGGCTGTGTTTGCATGGCTCGGAGACGCACCTCGGTGTTGGTCTGGAGAGCCTCGACGAGGTTAGAGGAGAATTGGATGGGGGCGTTGCTGTTAGGTTGAGAAGTCAGCGGGTTGGTCTTGATATTGGGATGGCAGGAGCGGCCGTAGGGCTTTCTGCTGCTTGTTTTCTGTTGCTGGGAACTTTGTCCGCTCCGCAACGGGCCCTTCGTATATTGAATCAATCATAGTATCGGGTGATGCCAGCGGCGATGCAGTCCCACAGCGATGCATTTAACATAAGAAGCGCATGTAGAGCATACCTGGTGAAAACATGTTTCGAGCCAGTCGAACCTTCGGGCTTAGAGCTGCCGGCGCCCATGATGTCTGAATTTTGTGATTGCTCTCTCTTGGTCGACTCGTTGCAATGGCAATGCGTGTATCCGGAACGGTAACCACGTAGACTCCGCAAGAACTATAGACGGCAATTGCAATGTTGTTCAAGATCTGATCTCGATATCACTATTGGAACAACCGACATCCGCCGGCTTGAACTCAATTCGGGCAGTTGATGTTCCGCATGCTAGGGTCACGTGACGCTATTAGTCATGTGGTAGAGCTTCTTAACAGATCATGCATCACCCTGTAAGTATGTTTCTTCTTTTGAAACATTATGAATTATGTTTGGTTCCTGGATACGCTAAGAACGAACGTCGACTACAACGATGTTACGCGGTATATCGAAGCAATCAGAGGACGTATTGCGATTTGTCCCGACTTAGCAGGCGACGACTTTTAGCCATTGCCCATCATATCTGTGTCGCATTTCCTTGGTAGACCCCAGAATGAATCTAATGAATCCTCCTAATATCAAACTGTGCTATGACCTATAGTCATAACAATATAGGACTCAATTTCGCTTGCAGACTAAACCGAAGCGGGAAAACAAGGTTCGGACATTGGTCGGGCATGCCAGGAAATGATATTTTTCCAGCCCTCTGGTGGATGGGTACCTGACTCTGTACTAGTGCCTAACGAGTTGAAACAGTTTATCAGGAATGAGATTCTCTATCAGTACAACTACAGCCTACACAGTACAGTCAATGCAAAGAGTTCATGATGGAATGTTACCCCGCAGGCTCGAGGTCAACTGGCCACTATCGAGATCAATGAGGGGTCTCCAACTCTCCGCGTCCACTCCATATTCGACAGGAAGGATTTGTCGATATGCAAGATACCTACTCCGTAGTATGACGGGCTGCAGCGAATGAACAAGGATCAGGTACCCTTCTCCCATTATATGCATATTCAGGTACCATACTTTTCTGTTTAATTCCTCCAGGTTCTCCAGTTGCGGTCCTAACCATTGTTTCTCACCGGTAAGAGTAGCAATACCCACAAGTGTTTCGTGGCGTCAGAGAAATTGAAGCGCGGTACAAAAACATTAACAGACCATTATTACGAAGAATTCTGGAGATATTGTTTCCCTTCTGGTATGATTGACTCTGTCAAAGTGTTGAGGCTTGGATGTCATCCTGAACTAGAAATGTTTACAGAGACTCAAAAGAAAGATCATTATTGGATGAGCAACCAGATCCTTCAATCATGCGTGTCTACCTATCTGAGTTAGCACTGATTATTTAGTTCCTGTAAGTCTTAGCTTTAAAGCTATTAAACCAGTCTAACCAGGTCCCTAACAAACCACGATGACGACGTGGCCGGCAAGCCGTTGATGAAGGGACAAAGCACGATCCTACTACCAGACAGTAATACTCTCGTACCCTCTGCTTCGGTTGGTGGTCTTCCGTAGTAGTGGATAACGATAGGTAGTAATTCGAGTACCTTATGCCGGAGAACCCGGTACTAATCCCGTTGTGATAATCGGCCAGTGCCAACAATGACAAAATTGCTGGGATTGAGGTTTCGAGGATCACTGACCTCATCGACCCCTCCTCCCCTCCACCTTGGCACCTTTGGTCGAAATTATTATTATTACCTCCTGTTACCCTCATCGTCTTCTTGGATTTAATAATAATATTATTATCATTACCTTATTGCTCTTACCCTCCCTCTCCGTGCTCCATAGTTTCTCATCATCTCGCTCCATCCTCAATTCTTACTTCCTCTCCACATCGTTTCTTCCGTTCCTTTTCCTCCCCGATCTCGATTCCCCCTTAGAGCCCTTTCCGATCTGATACGCCATGACGTCGCCTCTAGTGACCGAAGCTGCGCGCATTGCGCGCCAGTTTGACTATTCCGCCGAGCAGGTCCAGAGCGGTGTCAAAGAGTATATCAGAGAGATTCACGAGGGCCTCACCAAGGAGCACACGACACTCAGCCAAATTCCTACCTATGTCACCTCTGTGCCGAACGGTACTGAGAAGGTACTTTCTCTCGTCAAACCCACCGAAAAACCCGGCAGGTGACTGACTAGAAGATGTTTGACAGGGCTTGTACCTTGCTGTTGATCTTGGAGGCACCAACTTCCGGGTGTGCTCAATCGATCTTCACGGAGATACCACATTCAACCTCACACAGTCGAAGATCATGATCCCTCGCGAACTGATGGCTTCTGGTACTTCCAAGGATCTTTTCCTGTTCCTAGCTCGCCAGATTGAGGCATTTCTGCGAATCCATCATAACGAACACTTCGAGGCTCACCTGAGACGTCGTCGTGAGCCAAATCATGAAGAGGATCTCTTCGACCTGGGCTTCACCTTCAGTTTCCCTGTGCGCCAGTTGGGGATCAACAAAGGCACCCTCATTCGCTGGACAAAGGGCTTCAACATCCCCGACGCCGTTGGTCACGATGTCTGCGCACTCCTGCAAAACGCCATTGATGAGCTGAATCTTCCCGTTCGCGTGGCCGCTCTTGTCAACGATACCGTGGGAACCCTGATGGCTCGTTCCTACACCTCTCCCGGTGATACTTCAACTTTCATTGGCGCCATCTTTGGCACTGGCACCAATGGTGCCTATGTCGAGAAGCTCGACCGGATTACCAAACTGCGGACGATTGAACATTCGGATTACGAGAAAGCAACCGGAGAGATGATCGTCAATGCTGAGTGGGGCAGCTTTGATAACCACCTCAGTGTCTTGCCCAACACGAAATGGGACAAGGAGTTGGATGAAGATAGCAACAACCCGGGCATCCAGATGTTTGAGAAACGTGTCTCGGGTATGTTCCTGGGTGAGATCCTGCGCCGGGCTCTTCTTGATCTGCACAAGGACGAGGCCTTTGGTCTGTTCAAGTCAGATCAATCCTCGAAAGTTGTCACTCCGGAAAACTCGCCCCTGTACAGGCAGTGGGGTATTGACACCAGCTTCCTCAGCTTGGTGGAAGCCGACAAGACCGATAGCATGGAGGAAGTCAAGGTAGCTCTGAAGGATCACTTGAAGATCGAGAACCCTAGCGACGACGACTGCCAGGCCGTCAAAATCCTGGTGCATGCGATTGGCAAGCGTGCTGCCCGCCTCAGTGCTGTGCCACTTGCTGCTATCCTCATCTCCACTGGTAAACTGGAGACGGATGATATGGTCGACATCGGTGTGGATGGAAGTCTGGTCGAATTCTACCCCAACTTTGAGGCATACATTCGCGCCGCTCTGCGGGAGGTCCCTGAAGTGGGTGCCGCTGGCGAGAAGAAGGTGCGCATTGGCATCTCGAAAGACGGAAGTGGAGTCGGTGCTGCCCTGATTGCTCTTGTCGCCAGGAGGAATGAATCTGGATCTGCATCGAAATAGAAGTTTGGAGAAATGGGGGAAAAAAAAAAGGAAAAAGGGAATACAATTCTAATGCCGAAACGAAGTATTGTCTATTCTGCGTTCTGCCGATGGTCTTTGCAATCTTTCCACACTTGACTGAAACGAAGCACCTGCTTGCAATCTTGGTCAAGCACACTTCTTCAAGCTGCCAGTCTTAGGCGGCATCATCCGTGGCAGGTTGGGCCTGCTCGGTCTAGGATGTACAGGAGGCCCCGCTTTCCAAGACCAAACCCCAGTTCGCATTCGGTGGGGGAATCGAGCGGCTGAGCTCTCATATGCATGGACTTCGTCATCCTTGCATTGATCTGGTGTCGGAAGCTAGGCTTGGAGACTGGAGGTGTATCAATATCGTCATTTAGCGGCGTTGTACTACCCATACTATGGGATATATCAAGTGTTAGGAATCACTCATCTGCCATGGTCATCTGATACCTTCGTCATGGAAGAGTAATCGTAGAAGCGAACAGAAGAAAGATCTCACTGTTTCTGCAATTCTTCAGCTACAGAGGAATACTGTTACACAGCTGCTCTGTGCATAAGAACGGACCTGAGCATTGGATACAGCTATTGTCAATATGATGGCATATAGATATTCCTCTCTGTAATGTATCTTGTTACTTACGCATACTGCCATGCATACTGCGGCCTGTATGGAGTACCTACCTACTCCATCCAGATCCTCATTCTCGTCAGGTCGCACATTAATTTCGGCTTAATATTCCCTAAAGTCTATCGCCATGTACAATAAGGTCTCCAAGATGTAGATAAAGCAAAGCAAGCTCAAAATCGGCCTGCAATAGTCACAGTAGAGTTGACGGAAATTTGAGCCTTTATCTAGTTAAGCCTCTAATACACAACTGTAAGCCACAAGCAAGGGGCGGCGAACTAGGGCTTGGTGGTGTCGATCTCGAGCGATGATCATGGCACAGGGCACTTTGCTTGATTACCATGTCTGAAGTGAAATAGATAATAGAGTATTATCTACCGAGTGATAATGATATAGATATGTTCTATTCTTGCCGGCGCACTTTATCATGTCTGATGGGGGCTGATGCATACGTAGTGAGCAACTTGGGGTCGTCGAGGTTGGATCACGGGGATAGTAACCTTGGAGGATCAGCAATGGAAAAAGCAAAGAGTATGTTTGTGCGTATTAGGAGTTTAGCTTGTGCTTTGGACTATTTCCCCTAGGCTTAAAGTGTATGCTGATTGCGGAATGGGCTGATCTGCATATGGTACTTGTTAGAACCTAATGCGATGGAGACAACTAGGTACCTACTTGAGATGATCCGTCTCGGCAATTGTAGACTTCCGACTCAGAAGACCCAGTTCACACTCTGGAATAGTAGATAAAAGTAAGGTATGGAGAGATTACACATTGACGCGAGGTTCATGGCAACCATCCTTGAGACACGGAGCCACTTTCGGAATGCTTCATTGTTTACTCTGTTGTGCACAAGGATCACCGGGTAGATCAAGGATTGACATTCATACAGCTCTCACGGAAGGAAGGATCGGTTATCCGAGTCTTTCACCAGTCTAAGACATGTTGTTGAAATCTTGAAATGCATTAGATGGTATTCTTCGCCCTTTTGGGAAAATGCATTCCTTTTAGTTCATGGATACATCTACTGGTTGGATACTTCACACACCACGTCAGCATATCCCCCTCCTCTTTGATTGCAGTCTTCTTTGTTTACTCTCTTACGTACCATACCGGACGGAAAGGAGCATAACTCCCGGTATGTATGTAAGGCTATGGCCACTACATTAAGGTAGGTACCTGGATGTGCTTTAAAAACTGGCCAGCCAGTGAATGGCAGGTTGCACAAACAATCCCCGTTTAGTAATTGCTCCCTCCTTTCCTGCTTTTTGCCATTGCCATTATCCTGCAATGGGCTGAGAGTGATTTCGTCTCCTATTTTGGCTCTCACAGTCAGACATCTGTCCATTACTTCTCCAAGGCGTCAAAACGCCACCACCTGCTTCCTTGTCTGAAGTCGATCAACGTGGATTCGAACCTTGTGTGAATCAATCTTGCCTCTTCTTTTGGCTTGATGCTCTGATCTAGATTCTGTGAATTTACTGTTCTTCAAGTTCAACTCATTTCCAGTCGTTCCGCGTTGCTGTCGGCATTGATATCGAAGGACTCTAATACCACCCTCTCATCATGGAGAACACTGCGAACAGCCAGTCGCAGCATGATCCTGGCCCAAATTGCTCACAGACAAAGCTCACTTCCGAGCCAAACGCACCAGGAAGACGACAATCATTTGACAAGGAGAGCACACTAGTGGAGTCCTCCCCAGGGCTTGAATATCCCCAGTCACCTGTTCCTGAGAGGCGCAGTGACGGCCAAGCAATGGATATGGAATACAGCGAGGGCCATGTGGATGAAAAACAAGAGCCAGAATATCTGAAATCATGGAAACTGGGCTTGGTCATGGCCAGTATCAGCCTTGTGATTTTCTGCATGTCTTTGGTACGTACTCTAGAGCCAGCTTACTTTTCCAAAGGGACAAGAGTAAGAAGCTAACTGACTTCAATCGGGTTCACTAGGACAATACTATTCTGGCGACGGCGATTCCCAAGATTACGGATCAGTTCAACTCTTTGGATGATGTCGGTTGGTATGGAAGTTCCTACATGCTGACCTCTTGCTGCCTGGTGCTTCCATACGGCAAGTTCTACACGTTCTACTCCACCAAATGGGTCTACCTCAGTGCGATAGCCGTCTTCGAGATTGGATCTTTGATATGCGGCGTCGCTCCTAATTCTGTCGCGCTGATCATTGGCCGTGCGGTAGCCGGTTTGGGTGCTGCTGGATTGTTTACTGGGTCAATCCTGATTATCTCCCAGACCGTGCCACTGCAGAAGCGACCAATCTACACTGGTGTGGTGGGTGGTGTGTATGGCATTTCCAGTGTAGCTGGGCCTCTGATGGGTGGTGCCTTTACCGACCATGTCTCCTGGAGATGGTGTTTCTATATCAATCTGCCTATCGGGGGTTTGACTTGGCTCTTCATCCTTCTGTTTTTCAAGGCGCCAAAATCATATAAGGATAATTCGAGTCTCAAGGATCAGCTGTCGCGGCTTGATCTGCCAGGTCTCCTCGTCTTCTTCCCCGCCATCGTCTCCATGCTACTGGCTCTGCAATGGGGAGGCACCCAGTACAGTTGGGGAAATGCCCGCATCATCGCTCTGTTCATCGTGTTTGGAGTTCTGATTGCGATCTTCATCGGTCGGCAGCTATGGGCGCAGGACAACGCTACGGTGCCTCCTCGAATATTGAAGAACCGTAACGTCTGGGGTTCTGCATTTTATAGCTTCTGTGTAGCAGCAGCGTTCATGTTGTTTGTTTACTACGTACGTGTGCATACAGGAAACTCTGTGCTCGAGGATTTAGATTGGCTGACTTCTGGTTGCACAGCTTCCGATTTGGTTCCAAGCCATCAAAGACGTCTCGGCGACCAAATCTGGTATCATGAATCTGCCCATGCTGCTTGGAACAGTTCTGATGTCACTCTTCTCTGGGGCCATGGTTTCTGCAATTGGCTACTATACACCCTTCATGCTGATCTCCCCTGTGATTATGACGATTGGGGCCGGTCTGCTATCGACACTGAAGGTCGACTCCGGGCATGCTGTTTGGATAGGGTACCAGGCCCTGACTGGGATAGGGATTGGCCTCGGATTTCAGCAATCAATGATTGTGGTGCAGACTGCGGTTCAAGACACGGATGTCGCCAGTGCGACGTCCATCGTGATGTTCACGCAAACTCTCGGAGGCGCGCTGTTCGTTTCAGTCGCACAGAACGTATTCCAGAACCAACTGTACAAGAATCTGGCCATCCAGGCGCCTAGTGTCAATGCTGCGCAAGTCGCAGGTACTGGTGCAACCATGCTGCGACACGTTGTTTCCGAGGATGTTCTGCCAGCAGTCCTCATTGCCTACAGTAACGCCATCACCGAGTCGTTCTATGTTGCTGTTGCCATGTCGGCGGTTTCGATATTCGGAGCGATTCCAGTGCAGTGGATCTCCGTGAAGGGGAAGAAGATCGAGGCACTCCCGGCTTAGACTTGGGATTTCTGTGCGAATATAGTTTGCTATTACATTTGACTTACTGAAATGGATCGGGCGTTGGCATGGGAGTCGAGGACTTGCTTTGCAGCTCTCATTGCCGTCTGTAGATGACCTGTACCTTAGTTTATTTCCACGGCGCAGGATGACAAACTTCTAATGAGTGAATAACTACGACATAGCTAGAGACAAATCGAAACATCCCTCCTTTTATTATTGTTATGATTTGTATCATTAAGCCTACACAGCAGCATACAGGCTTAAATAGATCCCCCAGACAACCCCACAGGCACTCCCAAACACCACGCGCCTTTCCACAGGAACAACCGTATACAACAACGCCGACACAACAGGCCGATACTTAAGCCGCGCAATCATGATCGGCCCAAAGTCCTGCCCTCGTCAACATCACCCCCTGCAAGAAACAAACTGTGAAGAAAAGAGACGTACCTCAAGGACCAGCTCGCCGATCCTCCTCCATCCCACTCCCTTGAGCACATTAATCAAAACAATAAACAAGAGAATATTCATCACCGACCCAACAGTCTGATCGAGAAAGAATTTCATTAGGAAATTACCCAGCCCGGAGCGCGAGCGCCATCGTGCTCCTGATACCCGGTGCGGGTCGTGCTTCTCCTTCTCCTTGACAGGGAGCAGATCCCCCGGATCAACCGTCACAACGACAGCACCAGCGCCACCCTTGGCCTCAGCAGCAGTGGCAGCAACGGGCCTGCTCCTCCCCGGGAATCCCGGCCATCTCGCCTCCAAATACTTCTGCCAGGAGAAGTTGATGGGGACGATGATGATGGCGTAGGTGAGGAATTGGAGGAGGGCGAGGGTGTTGAGGGTGAATGGACCCTGCATTTTTATTCAGGATTGTCATTGACACTTAGAAAGATTGAAGAAGGCTTACGTCTTTTTTGTGCTGGGCGATTATTTGGGCGAGGATGTTGGAGAGGGCGTTGAGGAGGGTGGATTGGATTAGGGTCGTTGTTAAGGGGGAGGGCATTGTGCGCTGGGCATACGCATGAGCTCATATGAGCATTGCTATTCCTTGGTCAACACATAAAGTTTGCAGGTTTGGTTTGATTTGAGTATGTAGATAGACGTTGTAACTTGTATGTGGTTTTTAGCATATGCTAGAGTTACATTGCATAAACAAGCGCAGCGCAGCGCCAGCCAAGCCACGTGCGGCAACCGTGTCTTTTGTTTGTACGAAGTAGGGACTACTACGTGTGGACTACCTGTAGCTGTGATCGTCAAGCCAATAATATTCGTAATGATCAAATGCTTGATTGTCATAGCTCATGCAGTTTTTTACAATTAACATCCGAGTATCACGTTCAAAAGTTCAGAGTCAGACCCTTTTCCGGACAATGACATTCGGCCCATACTTGGAGCTAGTGAAGTGATCCACCAGCGCCAGCTGTCCCTTCTCGTCCTCGCCTTTGTGATCGGCCAGTTCAAAATCAAACAGGAACATCAACCGCGCAATGGTCATCCGCATCTCCATGAACGCCATGCTCTTCCCGATACACCCCCGCGGCCCGATGCTAAAGGGGCAGAATGCCCTGCGCGCCAGCTCAACGGCCTCCTTGCTGGTCGTCCATGACTCGTTGCTTGCCTGGCATGTCGCGCCCTCGATCCATCGCTCGGGGATATAGGCCTCGGGCTCGCGGTAGTACTCGGGTTGCCGGTGGATCGAGTACGTCGGGGTCCCGCAGTCCGTACCCTCAGGCAGAAAAACTCCATCGATCACGGCGCCGCCCTCCATGACTTCGCGCGGGGGCGCGCCGGGGACGGCAGGCGCCAGACGCATCGCCTCGTCGATGCACGCCTTCAGGTAGACGAGCTCATTGAGTTTGGGCCCGGTGATGATCTCCTCAACCGAGGAGAAGTTCTCGCGGATCTCCTTCCGGAGAAGTTCCATGGCGCGCGGGTTGCGGACCAGGTAGAAGATCGTCGCGGACATCGTGGTGGATGTCGTGTCGCTGCCGGCAATCATCAGGACGTTCGCCTCGCCCCAGAGCTCGGGCGTCGTCAGTCCCTTCCCGGTTTCGGGGTCCTTGGCGTTGAGCAGGTAGTAGAAAAAGTCCTTTTTGGCGTCATGGCCGGCCTGCGTACGTTCCTTGGCCCGCTCGTTTGCTTCGGTTCGGGAGTTCATGATGAAGTTCCACCGGTCGTTGGTCAACTTGTGGATGAAGATCTGGTCCAGATGCCAGGTGTCTAGGGGCATCCACAATCCGCACTTGACTTCGTCAGTTTCTGTCAATACCAAGTGGGGTGAGGAAAAGTGCCATACCACATAGTGCCGATTGGCAGCACGATCGACAAGCTCGATCATTTTCCGCCGTCCGCTCGAAACCAGCATGTCAAAGCTCTTTCCAAAGCACAGCTCCCCCATCACATCATAGGTCAGATAGCTGAACCAATCCCCCATGTTGAAAATAGCCGTCGCCGTCGCGCTCTTCTCACCCTTTCCCTCGAGCCCACCAGTCAGAATTTCACAAAGCTGTCGCACATGCAGCAGCATCACATCCTCCATGCTCTTCAGCGCGTGGTCCGAGAAAGCCTGGCTGAGCACGCGCCTCTTGCGCCCGTGCATCGCCTTGTCGATTGCGTTGTGCGTGTTGTACACGCTCTTGATGGCGGGGAAGGCATTGTAGAAATTGGCCTTGCGGAGCCGCTTGCCATGGCCGTAGATGTCGTGCAGGCCGCGATCCGTGTTGATGGAGACGAAGTTGGGTGCCGCCCGGACATGGGATCCGTATTTCTCATGCAGACGGTGAAGCCATAGGTGTCGGTCGCCTTTCAGTCCGTGGTATAGTTGTACCCAGGGGGTTATGGAAGCGAGGAAGGGTCCGGGAATAGAGCGCAGAGGGTGGAAGAATCGATTGTACGTGATATATGCTACTGTCTGCGTCCGAGAATGTCAGCGCTGGCACCATGATTATAGCATAGTACGAACATAAACCCCGCGACTTAAGGGTAAATTAACTTACCAAACCCCCCAGGAGAAACAAAAGCCCTTGCACCGCCCCCCAGACTGACAAATTCTCCAATAATGGTTGAACTAGCATGATTTCCAAGCAGCAGATGAAACAATGATGAATGATGATGCCGGCAACTGCAATCACCGATGCTAGCCGAGCTCAACCGAGGTAGGTCTCACTCCGATAGTCTTTTCACTTCCCCCGCAAAGATGGAGCTAGAAGCAATGATGAAATGGGGAATCGACCAAGGTAGAGGTAGTATTCCACTGAGTGCGTAAGATCTCTCTAATGTCCAGCCAAAGGGGTTCTTTATATCTTGCGCTGGCTCGGTTAGATGCGGGCGTACTTCCGCTGTCCATGCAGTCATCGTTTGCGGACTGCTGACAATGATAAGAGTAAGTAGCTTCAAATCATTACCAACGACTAAGCAAGATGTTTATAGCATGGGGATGTGCAAAGATTACCTGTTCTTTTGTTGAGAGCTGTTTGTACAGTACGTCATAGAGACAGCGACACCCGCTGATTTAAGCTTAAGTATACAATGTAGGTAAATTCAGGGATATGTGTGCATTCGTATTTACCATGCGAGAATATGCTTCTATTCATCTTGCCAACCTGATGCCGACAGTAATCTCACTCACCATTTGATGGTGCACTATATCTCCTGCCCGAAGTTACTCGGCTTCAGGAGACTGTATCCACTACTCTTCTGAAGACAACCGTTGATATCCGACTTCAGTTGGCTTATAGAATACCTTCAGCACCCACTGAAGTGGACCGCGGAGCAATTGCGGGTATTTGGCAATAATACGAGCGGAGAATTCGCGCAACACTACTCCATCAGTATACCGCTACATAGAAATCGTGCGGCAATGCTGCACTCTATACTGGGAGCCGCCAAATCGCCGCTATCGGCTGAGGATTGGCAATGTGCTTAATGGAGGATATATGCGCAGTATCTGCCAATGTGCAGCAGTTCGGAGGGTGCCCATTTTCTGCCGTGCAGACGAGGATTTGGTTCCACATGGGTTCATAGGGTGATATTCAGAAGCTAAGTGGTATAGCCGTGCAAGCCACCATCGAGAATCCATTGTTCATTGTCATCGTTGTCGTCCTGGACGCGCCGCCATGCCTGTTTGCGTTCTTTTGTACTTACCCCTTCTGCCTGCTTGTCTCCCGCAGCCTTCCAAACGGGTCGTAGCAGCCCGCCAGCTGCAAGTAGTGGGTTCCGACTGAAAGCTTCACCGCCACTTGGTTTCGACTCTTCGTGCGAAACATCCTCGACGTCCTCATCTTTCTCCTCTGCGGCCGAGCTCGACTCCGCAGGCGGGGCAGACTGATACACTCGAGTCACGCGACCGCCCTTGATATCCAAACTCATGATGGTCTTCTTCTTCTCCCACTCCGGCCGCGCCTGTTCCTCCAGCTCCCGGAGTATCCGCTGCTGTTTCTTCAGCGCTAGCGCCCGCTGAGCCGGGCTCATCCACAGCGTAGACGCAACATTCGGCGTTTCGAAATCCGCAGCCTCATCCACGACCCGCGTGCGCTTGGCGTTCTGCGCCTGGAACTGAAGTAGCTTGTCACGGTGCGCCTTAGCGGCGTCAAGCTTGCTGTTTCCCACGGGAGTTGGGCCTGGCCCACCCTCCCGGTGGACACTTTCATTGTGAACCCGCATCTTCTCCTGTCCGCGCTCCGCGCGCAGCTCCCGGATCATACTCTGTACTTCTTCGTTTGATAGGAGCGGCGTCCCGCAGAATGAGCATGGCTGGAGACCTTCGAGGGAGCAGATGATCTTGCCGCAGTTCAGGCAGTTCGGGGCCGGTTCGAAGAGCGGGTGGATTGTAGCGTAGCAATTGCATTTTTGCCGGCCACCGCCTAAGGTCGGATTCGTAGAGACTTCGAGGGCGGCAATCGCGGCCGTCAGGTCGGAGATGTTGTTCGTTGTAAGCGATGCTTTAGATGAGCCTCCGGTGGCTGAGTTTCCGCCTCCGTGTTGTCGGGAAGATGACTTGGCAGCTTTCGACTTGACGTTGGGAAGGAGATCCGAGAGCACTGGACCCGACGCGGACGGCGGATTCTTAGGAGTACCCGACGACGACCGCGGCGCGGGGGATTGGGTACGTGACGACGCGGCGGACGAGTCAAGCGACGACAACGCGTTCTGCTGCAGCGGAACCTGCAGCGAAGAAGCTGAACCCTTTGACCGTAAAGCAGCTGTATCCTGTCTCGCCTGCCGAGCCGGCGCAGCAGACATGTAATCCGCGTCTTGATCCTCCTTCCTATACCCTCCCGCCACATTCCCGAAATTCTCAGGCCTGCGTACGGGCCCTGCGCTGTGAAGAGGCGCTTTGGGCTTTTTGCCCCTCTTGGCTCCGGCTCTTGTCCCAGAATTCACATTATCAGTGGTGTATGCGTCGGCCGCTGCGGATCGCTCTTCCCGGCCTCGAGCTGGCGATGGTACGGTGGATTGGGTTCGGTTTTGGTCTCGTCGGGCGCTGAAGGAGGCGATGAATTCGAAAGCTGCGGGGGAGTCACCGAGGAGGTTTTTGAGATGCTCGGCACCTTCTTCCTTTGGAAGACTGGCAGAGTAAGTGATGATCTGTGTCAAGGACTCGTCGTCCAGTGGTAAAAGCTGGGCCAGGCGAGGAACTGCCCACGCGACGAGGTTTGAGTTACTCATGTTCTGCGCGCGGACTCAGCGGATAAGCTCAGAAAGAAGTTTATTGAAAGAAAGTGAGTGACTCGTCTACCTTCATGCCAATAAGACTGAACGGTCAAAAATGAGGCAAGGTATGACGAGACTCGATAAGCGCATCGTCGGTGGGTTTCTGCGGGTCCGGACGTCCTGCGGCAATATCCGTCTCAGCTTGGAGCTGATTCTAGACTCCACAGTTGGTGGTTGCACAAATGTGATGATCAAGATGTAGAAAGCCGGCGTCTCTATTTATATTTATGACTTGGCCAGTCAACTACTTGAAGAGGTCACTTGATAAAATCACAAGCAATGTTCCATGCG